TGTGTGTACTTCCTGTATGTCTGTGTGTACTTCCTGTATGTCTGTGTAACCTGTCCTGAAAATCTATCCTTGCAAGTAAAAACCGGTTAAAAAAAATCTCCTGTCGTCGAGTGTGGCTCCTTAAGTGAGATAAAGCGAGAATATTTTTCTCCAACATTCCTCAGCTGGGTTGTCTCCAACAGTAAATTGGTTGTTGATCTAATGAAACTTTCTGAAACTACCATTGAAATCCTTCCAGTTGTTAATGAAATATTTTTATCCAAACACTTCAGACAAAAACACCGACATGAAAAAAAGACATTATGGCTTTTTCACCTTCGTCCTTTCAGCTTTCCTAAACCAATGAAAGCAAGTCCACTCAAATATTGTGCACTAAGGGGAATCTCAATGCTGATTTAAGAGAAATAAAGATGAGAACTTCCATCAGGTCTGGTCTGCTCCACATCATGCTCTTTGTGAAGTCCAGATGTTTCCGTGAGAAACATGAACCTGTACAGATGTGACTAAATCAATGAAATGAGAACTAACTTTCTCGTCCAGGTCTGCCTTTGTGACGAGGATCTCCTCCGTGTGGACAACCTGTATGTTGCTCTTCAGACTTCGACCCTCCTTATCGACGATCTTCGATATCAACAGGCAGCCGTCTTCAGACACTGTCAGCAGGAACTGATCGTCATACGTGATCTTCATCTGAGGACACGGTCATGTGTTTTAGATCACTGTGTCATTCAGTATTCACAAACCATTTTATTTTGAAATTCTCTATACATCTTTTTCCAATCTAACTAATTCTGCATACTTTGTTGTTTTAACCATGCGTATATCAAAAAATTCAGCTCATTCATGAAATGGATGCTATAACCTTTGTTTTTTATCATTTTCATACATTTCAAAATATTTAACCTTATTTACAAACAAAAATATATTTAGGTTTTAGTTAGACTTCTGATAATTTGGGCTTTTAGCTACTGAACTGCTTTTACAGTTATCAACTCAGTTTCAGCTTTTCCAGCAAAGTCATTCAGCTCTCAGCATTTTCTCACAAAATATAATTTGTCTACTTTGAAATTTCACTCTTGAAATGACACAGAAGTGTGAAGATCTGTTGGTGTTTGGACTCACCTTTGTCACAGGGCCACGGTGAGCATGGTGCACGAGCCATTCCCTCTGGATGGGTAATGGGTATTTAATGGCTCTGATGGTTCCACCGGAGGTTCCAGTAAAGACGACATGACCCGAGTGAGACACTGCAAGGGTGGTGTGGGCTACCTCATCTGCTGGGAGCTCCCTCAAGATCTGGAGAACCAACATCCGTAAATAACTTAAAGGCTTAGAAGGGATGCATATCTGCTGTGGCCTCATGTCAGAGTACTAAACCAAGATGGTTTTATTTTGAGAAGGGACGGCGTTGCAGTAGCTGTTTTTGGTCAAACCTTGAATTTATAACATGCATGATCTCCCTGAGATACTGGCAATGAAGCTCAGCTAGCAAATTTGATCTTATTAACTTTAAAAATGACCAATGATACCAACTGAGTTATATCTATTTTGTGTTGGTTGATGTCAGTTAGCTGTGGCAGCCAGCTTGAATGAGATTGGCTCCAAATGGTAAGCAGAAGTAGATGAGCCTCAAATGATTACTTTGAGTTTGTCCAGTGCTTCATGAGAAATTTTGCTAACAGACAGACAGAGATGATGCCAATAGTTAACAACAAAATGTTCAACATAGATGTTTTACAATTTGTTATAAGTTCATTTGTAAAAGCACCTCAGAGCTGCTTTTATCTTGTGCTCTGGCTGACTTTAAATCACGAGGTCATCTCTTAGTGGCCATGTTCACACTCACCGTGCACATGCTTCCCTCCATGAATCTTGAATGAACTTGCTCTATATGAAAATTAGAGTTGTCTTTCTTAACTGTCAGAGATATTAAAGCTTCTGCAGTAGTGCCTGAACGTAAACCAAACTAGAAGTCCAAATCTTGTTTCTGTTCCTTTATTTGTTTATTTCCCCATCAGTTTCTACCGTAGTAGAGACTATTCTTCTCGGGGTCCACACTTAAAACACTGCAATTAAATCAAATTTTACAAAAATACAAAACTTAATTCCCAACATCATACAGAAATAATACCATCTGGCGTTCTTGGTGTGCTGTGGCTCCTGACCTGACAGTCCTGTATCTCCTTCAGGGTGAAGTCTGTTCCCACAGCCATGATGGTCTTGCTGTCTGAGGAGAAGGCAACGCCCGTGTAGTTGCAGGACTTGATGTACTCCGACTGCCGCTGCCCGGTGTGTGTGTTCCACTCATACACTGCCCCATCCGTCCCACACGACACCAGCCGGCTGTCATCCAGGCTCCATTCAATGCATTGTACCTGGAGGACAGACAGACAGACAGACAGACAGACAGACAGACAGGCAGGTCACATGTGGAAAAAGAACTCACTGGAATGGCTGCTGTCCAGACTCACCTTTCCATTATGGCCCTTTAAACTGAGGATTTTCTCCAGAGTGGTGAAAGAGTAGATATGAATGAGATTTCCATCAACAGCTGCAAACATGTGGCCTCCAAAGCTAAAGGCACACTAAATATGAGAAAAAGAAAGGGTTGGAACAAAAAGTCAGAGCCAGTAGCACAGGATAAGTTTATTACGGTAACAACGTATAAAGCATTGAAGTGTCCTTTGTCCTGTTAATAGTTTATTTTGTACATTTTTTGCTATCAAACTACTTTTGCGTAATTTCAGATATTTTACTGTGTATACATCAAAACCTTCAGTTTTATTGAGAATAGTGTGTACTTTTGGTTTTTGTATCATTTATACTTTCAAAATAAATTATCTTTACCTGAAATAAAACTCCCCATAGAAATGCAATGGGATGAATTTAATTTCTTCAAAACATTGGCTCTGTAATTTGCTTCAGGGAATTTGCTCTATTTTTGTAATCCTATACTTTGTTTAGCAAATGTTCTGCTGTTTTTGGTTACTGTTCTGCTATTGTTAACTTTCAGCTGCTCTGCTGCCTTTAGCAACTCTATAACTAATTTTGGTTATTGTTACTTCTTGTTTTCCATTACTTTTAACTTTTAGAACTTGTGTTCTCAATGTTTTAAAATCTTTGACTTTTTAACAAAATTTTGATATATCGTTTAGTTTTTAGAAAGTTAGATGATTTTTTACAAATTTTCCATGAAATGTTCAGCTGACAGTTGATGTTATACATTTTAACATTTGAGTTGCTTAAATTTTTCAAGTTCATTAAGTTTCATTCACATGAGAACAATGTAGAGTTACCAATTAATTTAAAAAGCAAGAGGTTTCTGTCCATGAGGCTAACACTCTGCTTTTAGGTCTGGACTTAAAGTCTTTCCTGTTTGACATCAGATAGTCAGAGTCAGAGTTTCTTTATTGTCATTCGCACCTCATGTGGTACATGTGGTGGAGCGAAATTATGTACACTGTGAATGTAAAGTGCATTATAAATAAAAGTTATTATTATTATTACACAGGGTCCCAGTTACATCCAACAATAAAATGTAAAAGAAAAACATCAACTAAATATACACTAAACTAGTGTTGTAGTACTCGAGACCGGTCTTGGTCTCGAGACCGGTCTCGAGACCACTTTTTGACGGTCTCGGTCTCGTCTCGGTCTCGACCGCATTTGGTCTCGGTCTTGTCACGGTCTCGGACATTGAGGACTCGGGATTTTTTTTCAAGACCAGTCAAGACCACAACTGTGAAAATATCACTAAATTGCCAGAATATTGTCCAGTTTATTTGTTAACATCTTTGCTTTTACTGGATGCAAAACATACCGATTCAAATTCAAGCGATAACGTGACTCATAGCAGCTAGCTACATGTTTTTGTTACCACTCCAGTGTTGCCAGATTGGGTGGTTTACTGCCAATTGGCCAGTTTTCGTTCTGATTTTGCTGGGAACTCTGGGAAGATTTTTGTTGGACTGTTCCGTTTTGCCACATATTGTTAAATTACCTTGGCTTGTACTGATGTGGGTTTGTGTTCAAAAAGTAAATATACTGTAACAAATATAGATTGTGCAGGTTTTTGTGTGATGTTGCGGTTTTTAACCGATTTTTTGCTGGAAAATCTCGACTCTATCTGGCAACACCGAGCCCACCTCCTTTCACTCGCAAGCGTCAGGGAAGAAAAGTTAGACTTGTTTGTGTTTAGAACAAGAGAAGATGTCTTCTAAATCTGCTGTTATAAAGTTTGGCTATTTGAGTCACAAAGAGTATCCAACATCCAACTTTTATCGACACCTGGAAAGGAAGCACAAAGAAAGGTAAGCGCCGCAGCTTTGTGTAAGTGATGCTAGTAAAGCTAGCTAGTTAACGTTATCAATCTGCCTCTCTTCCAAGAACAATACAAACAGAACGTTTTATCAAGTATGGTTTATTTGTCATATGCAAAATCAACACAAGGTCGACAACAATGCAGTGAATTGCTTAGGACGAGAAAAACAGTCTTGACTCGCCAAAAACAAACAAAAAAATAACAACAACAAATACCAAAGCATGCATCACAAATACTAAAATAAGGGACAAAAAGTTGAAAAAGTAATTCATCGACATTAAATCTAAATACATCTAAATTAATTAATGTGTGTCAGACTCAGACCCGCTTTGTTTAGCCCTTAAATGAGTTTTACTTTATAACACTGATATAATTAACATATTAAGTAAGCAAATTCACTGTTTACATAAAGTTAAATCAGGTCCTCTGAGTGTGTGTTAAAAGAAAAAAAGTAGAATATTATCTGCACAGCTTTTTTCTACCTTTTTTTTCTTTTAACACTCCCAGAGGACCTGATTTAACTTTTTTTTAATTTTCTACCTGGGTTATTGAGCATGCATAAGGACAAATTCACTGTTAACGTTGAGAGACTGAGGGGACAGGGCATGTGGTAACAAAATGTAGAAACGTTTCATCTTTCATCCAAAAGACTACTTGACTTCTTAACAAAAGACTTCATTGTAAGAGGGACTGTCTTCTTCTTACATCGCTGATATTGCTAGTATCACTCAGCCCCCTGTGAATAGCAAGCAACCATTAGGGTGCCAACGATTCATTGTTAGGCTGATGGTCTCCCTTAGCATATTTGGCAAACTGGTTGATCCACTGTGAGAAGGTGCTAACTGTGTTTAATATGTCCTGATGCATGCTCAATCACACAGGTAGAAAAATCTTAAAAAGTTAAATCAGGTCCTCTGGGCGTGTTAAAAAAGTAAAAATAAAAGGTAGAAACATTTCGTCTTTCGTCCGAAAGACTTCCTCAGGCTGAGGAGCTGCATTCAGCTCAGCCCTATAAATAGTGCCTCCTCACAGTGGACCAACCGTTTGTTGTTGATGAAACTAGCTGCTCACATGTTCAAGGAGGACCATCAGCCTAATGATGGATTGTTAGTACCCTGATGGCTGCTTGCCTTCACCGGGGGCTGGGTGATACTAGCAATCACAGCATTGTAAGAGGGGGACAGTTGAACCCGGAGGCCTCCACCTCTGTTTAAAGATGGATGGTTTCTTTTCACAAAGATGGCCTCCTTTACTCCTCTCTCAAACCATTGTTCCTCTCTATCAAGGATGTGAACATCTTCATCCCTGAAAGAGTGACCGCTGGTCTGGAGATGAGTGTAGACCGCAGAGTCTTGGCCTGAAAATGTAGCTCTTGAGTTTAATATAGCTCCTCATATTGAAGAAGTCTTTTGGATGAAAGACAAAACATTTGTATAATTTTTTATTGTTTAAACCCATCCAGAGGACCCAATTTAACTTTGTTAGATTTTTCTAAGTTTAATTTTTGCTTATGATAAACAATGGAGGATATATTTGACATACATTTATGAAGTTGCTACTTATTTTTAAGTGTTCTTTTGATGTAATTGATGTTCATGACCAGATATACTGATTCCTCCTTTGCATTTTTTAGGTTCCTGGAATACAAGGCAGGGCAACAGAATGATGTCACAGTCACACAGCCATCAATTTCATTATTTACGCAGAAAGTGCAGCTCTACAGCCCACAATCACCAAGGCAACAAGCCATCAGTCAAGCCGTTGTCCAAGATTTGATCATTGGGTGTTGTCTGCCTCTCTCACTTGTGGAAAACAGTCATTTTAAACACTTTCTTGAAGTTATGGATAGTAAATACACACCAATCTCTAGAAAAACGGTTTCTGATAGACAAATTCCAGAGTTGGTAATCAAGGTCAAGGAAACTGTTTTGGAGAAACTGAAGACCCAGTCATCTGTGTCATTAACAACTGACCTCTGGTCTGATCGCAGGCTACACTCCTTCCTTGGGGTGACCGCCCACGTGTGCTACAAATCAAAGGATTCCTATGCACTTGAATCCTACCTGCTGGACTGTAGGCGTTTCACAGGCAGACATACTGGAGAGCACATTGCGTCTGCCTTTCAGGAGATCACAGAGGAATACGGTATCATGACAAAATTAGCTATATCATAACAGACAATGCTGCCAATATGAAATGTGCTTTCAAAGTACACATGCCCCAATCTGATGACAGCGAGAGTGAAGAGGAGCATTTAGATGACGAGCACCTGTGGGAGGACATTAATTCTCAGGAAGACACCGAATTACCCTGGTCATCTGGTGCACGTCTTTCCTGCTTTGCACACTCTCTGCAATTAGTTGTGAATGACGGCATGAAGGAGGTCAAGGCCATTTCTCACACAATAGCCAAAACATCACGGTTCACCACCTTATTGCATAGCAGTTCACAATTCAAAGACAAGTTTGAGGCTACGTTTGGCACTAATAGGACCATTCCAGCTGCAAACACAACTCGATGGAACAGTATATTTAAACAAGTACAGGCCTTCACAGCTCTGGACCACAAAGCCCTGAATGAAATGTGCAGCAAGGATCACGAGGAGTTGGTGTTTAGTGCCCGTGAGTGGAACCAGCTGAAGGAACTGAGTGCAGTTCTTGCTCCATTTTCTGAGGTAACAGACCTGACAGAAGGGGAGAAATCAGTTACCATTAGTATGGTGGTTCCAACTGTCCTGGACTTGAATACACACCTCCTCAAGATGGAGGACACTCGAATGCAGTGCCAGTCATTGGTCAGAGCCCTCCAGCAGTCTCTGGTGAAAAGATTTTCTGGAATCTTTTTAAAAACAAGCATGGCCAAAGACAGTGGAAGAGAGGAACCTTTTAACCACAATGTTTACTTCTTGGCCACCATGCTGGATCCTCAGTTTGGCTTAAGCTGGGTGGACTTAGATGTTACCAATGGGGGAAATTCAACATCAGTGAAAAAGTTCAGAGATGAGCTTAAGAAGACACTGACAGGTCAGTATATATTTTCTCTGCTGAAAATAAATGTCTTATTTGCAAAATCATAAATCCTAAAATATTTCAAATTAGTTGTCTATAAAAGCCTTAACTAGTCTTACAGTGGAATTCATAGTCTTCATTTCATCTGTTTACTTTTGTCATAAAAACATATTTTGTACACTCTGAGCCTATTGAAACAGATACTCTATATTTAGGCTGGTAACATGCCTATTGTACACAATCCTGACTCACTTTTATATTAAATGGGACTGTACTTATATAGCACCTTTCTATCTTATCAGACACTCAAAGCACTTTACATTACAATCTGTGCCTCATTTACACATTCATACGGCACTCTATTAGATCTCTACAAAGCTAATTGAACAAATCATTCAAAGGAGACTAATCAGAGCTTTATCACATTCATACACTGATGGGACGCGCATCGGAGGCCCCTAATAAAAGGTCCTAAACGTATTTAATTCAACTCTGATATGTGCATATCCTTTTAAATCTAACTCAGTCATTGTGTTTGTGTTTTTCAGAAACATTGATCTTAGAGGTGGAGAAGATGATGGACATGAAAGAAGACACCTGCTCAGAAGTTGTGAATGTGGATCCAGCCGCAGCCAGTGATTCGCCACCAAACAAATACCCTCGCCTTCTGTCCCGCTACAAGGCATACAAAAAGCACAGCTCAGACCAGGATTCAAGCATACACACACAGATAAGGAAATACTTTGATGCCATCCGTGACTTTGACACAGACAATGCACTTGTCTTCTGGGCAAAAAACCACACTAGATTTCCACAACTGCACAATTTGGCAATGAAGGTCCTATCAGTCCCTGCCTCCTCTGCACCAGTGGAAAGGGTTTTCAGTCGAGGAGGCATTTTAATGAGACCCCATCGTGCACGTTTAGGCCACAGAATGTTGCAATCACTCATATTTCTTAAATGCAATGAAACACTTCTTTAAACTCCAATAATCAGTTAGTCATCTGGACAGTTTTTTTTTTTTTTTTTTTGTGGAAAGACTGACGTTTTGCCCTCCGGGGGCTGTCCTCTCCCCCGTCGACTCCTTCCAAAATGCAGCCACAGCCAAAGTGGGATTTTTTTGAAGTAGTTATGCATCGGGCAAACTTTGTGTTGCTTTGTATAGCTGCAACGTTGAAATTGATTAGCCTCGTGGTTTTCTTTCTGTAGTAGTTTTTGTTCACATTCCTGGCTGCCTGCAGTGCAGTTATTTCTCTGAAACTTTATGAATATGAATAAGCTACTAAGTTTTCTTGGGTGATTTTTATGATACTGTGTTTTTTTTTCTTAATGTGCCTTGGATCATACAATGGAAGATCCCCAAGCAAATACACAAGTCTAAATGAAAATTAAACAATTTTAGAAAGTAACTGACTTCAAGTTTCCAATTTAATCCTAAAGACTGCATTTATACTGCCCAGTATTTCATGTTGACTTCAAGAGACCAAAAGAAGGTAAATGCATCTTGAGTTTTGTTTTATTAGGATCAAAATGGGTCACTTAAATTAGAGTTTAAATAAATTAAAGTAAGCATGCACAAGTTGTGTACAAAAGACATTGCAGTACAAAATTCATTTCACAAACAACACTGTTTAAAAACGTAAAAACATTACTGTCTGGTAAAATCATCAGTTTTGACACATTAAAAAGGCTCATAACTTTATAAAAATATTTTATAATAACATTTTATTTATTTTTTTATTTTATTTGTGGATTTGGTCTCGAATTGGTCTCGCCCTCCCTCGGTCTTGGTCTTGTCTTGGTCTCGGACTTTAAAAGTCTTGGTCTTGTCTTGGTCTCGGACCCTAAAAGTCTTGGTCTTGTCTCGGTCTCGGCACACTCTGGTCTTGACTTGTCTTGGTCTCGGGTTAGGTGGTCTTGACCACAACACTACACTAAACACTCATAACATAAAACATTGAACATCAGCACAAACATGAACATGAGTCTGTGAGCAGATGTGCACGCATGAACACATCAACATGAAACAGATCAGCAGCAACATGAAACAGATCAGCAGCAACATAAAACAAATCAGCAGCAACATGAAACAGATCAGCAGCAACATGATGTGATTTTTCACAGTGATTATTCTAGTTAGAGATTCATGAGTCTAACAGCCTCAGGGTAGAAGCTGTTCCTCAGTCTAGTGGTTCTACACTTAATGCTCCTCAACCTCCTTCCTGAGGGGAGTGGGGCAAAAAGTGTGTGTGCTGGGTGAGTGGGGTCCTTCATGATGCAGGTGGCCCTCTTCCTGCACCTGGAGGTGTAGATGTCTGTGATGGTGGGGAGACTGATTCCAACATCTTCTGTGCAGCCTTCACCACTCTCTGCAAAGCTTTTCTTTCTGCAGCTGTGCAGCCTCCATGCCACACGTTGATGCTGGAGCACAGGATGCTCTCCACTGCACACCTGTAGAAGGAGGTGAGGACTGAGCTTCCAGACCAGCTCGCCTCAGCCGTCTGAGGAAGTAGAGTCTCTGATGAGCTTTCTTGATCAGGCTGGTGGTGTTGTTGCTCCAGCTGAGGTTGTTGTTCATGTGTACACCCAAGTACTTGTAGCTGGAGACCACTTCCATCGCAGATCCTCTTATGTTTAGGGGGTGTATGTGTGTTTGTTCCTTCTGAAGTCCACAATCATCTCATTTTGTCTTCTTCACATTGATGTGAAGGTTATTTTCTTTGCACCAGCTCTCCAGGTGTTCCACCTCTTGCCTGTAGCTGGACTCATCGTTGTTTGTGATGCATCCCACCACTTCTGTATCATCTGCAAACTTTACAATGTGACAGCCTGGATGGGTAGCTGCACAATCATACGTGGGCAGAGTAAACAGGAGAGGGCTCAGCACACATCCCTGAGGAGAGCCAGTGCTGAGGGTTATGGTGGAGGAGGAGAGGTTGTGGATCCTCACTAACTGTGGTCTGTTTGTTAAAAAGTCTAGTACCCAGTTGCAGATGGAGGGGCTTAGTCCTAGTGTGGATAGTTTGTCCATCAGGGTTTGGGGGATCATGGTGTTGAAGGCGGATGTGAAGTCCACAAAGAGCATACGGACGTAAGAGTTTTTCTGCTCCAGGTGGATGAGCGCAGTGTGGACCACAGAGGAGATGGCATCCTCTGTTGATCGGTTCTCACGGTATGCATACTGATGAGGGTCCTCGTTGATGTTGATGGTTGTTTTGATGTGAGTCATGACCAGTTTTTCGAAGCATTTAGTGACTATCGGAGTGAGGGCCACTGGCCGATAGTCATTCAGACCAGTCACTGTAGAGCTTTTTGGGACTGGGATGATGGTGGCAGTCTTCAGGCAGGTGGGAACTGTCTCCAGGGTAAGTGAGGTGTTAAAGATGTCTGCCAGCACCTCACAGAGCTGATCAGCACATTCCTTCAACACTTTTCCGGGGATGTTGTCTGGGCCAGTTGCTTTGTGCGGATTAATCCTCCTGAAGGTACTCCTTACTTCTGCTGAGGTCACGCTGAGATGCTCTTCATCCGGTGGTGAGGTGAGTCTGGTGCTGGGTGGTCTCATCGGGTCTTCAAAGCGTGCATAGAACTTGTTGAGGGCATCAGGCAGAGATGGGTCTTTGGGGCATTGTTCGCTCCTTCCTTTATAATCTGTTATGCACTTAATGCCCCTCCACATGCTCCGAGGGTCTTGTGAGATGAATTGACCCTCAATCCTCTGTGCATATGTGGACTTGGCCCTCTTAATACCAGCAACCAGCTCTTTTCTTGTCCTACTCAGCTTTTCTGAGTTTCCAGACCTGAAGGCAGTGTTCCTGGCTTCCAGCAGGGTGCTATATATAATATAGTTAGGGTAAGCATAGGTTTCCTGAGCTATCTTTTAGTTCTGTTGCTATAGTTGCTGCTGGAGGACAAATTGACCACATTTCCTCACTCTACTTCTGTCTTTACTTGCTCTACTCTCCATGTCTTTATTTGTATTTATATTTTTTTAATCATTAACAAGCATTTTTTTTAGCCATTCTGCATCTTTTTCCTGTCCTCTCGAATGTAAGCCTGTTGAGGCAGATGTCTACCAATCCTGAGGCTGGTTCTGGTTCTGCTGGAGGTTTTACAGATATAAGAAAGTTTTTTTTAATTTCCTGTCATCAATGTGCCATTCAAGATTGAAAACTGCATCAAAGTTGAGATGAAATAAGATAAAACTTTATTGTTCCCGCAGGAAATTGTTCTGCCAGAGATCTGATCAAATCTGCTGGCTTCTTTAGATAATGTTTACTAATAGGCATTTAATTTTTTAATTCTCAATTTGTATGCATCCTTTATGATTGTCTATTGTTGTCTTTGTTGTTCCACTGTTGTCGTCACTCTTTGGTAAAAAAAACGTCTCCTTTGTAAATGAGTCCCCGAGGCTCAGTGGGATTAACCTGTATACATAAAGGTTGAATGAATGAATCTTATAATGTATGAATGTTTTAGCACAGTGCCCTGAGATGATATGTTGGAAATTATATATATATATATATATGTACATATTATTTATATATATAAACAACCATTCACTTCTCTCACTCACACCTAGGGACAATTTACAGTTACAATCAGCCTAACATGCGTGTTTTTTGGTCTATAGGAGGAAACTGGACTACCTGGAGAAAACCCACGCATGCACGGAGAGAACATGCAAACTCTACCCAGAAAGGTCCCTGCGAGATTTGATCTGGTACCTTTATCGCTGAGAGGTGCAGCTCTACCAACTGTGCCACCCTGCAGCCCTCAACAGTCATATAGCTCAAAATACTGTGTTCTCTTCAAAACGGTCATTTCTCCAACATAAAATACTGTGTAAACCTAAAAACTCATGTCTTCTGCCTCTGACCGTTCAATACTCTTTAAAATCATAGTTTTTACAGTGACTACATGAGGCTTACTTTTCAGTTTGTGTTTCTGCCATGAAACATAACTGGGCTGTCAGTGAGTGACAGACACTGTTGTGTATGACAACCAGATATCACCCACTGGCAGCAGCTATATCATTTCCTTTAGTTTTGTTTCTCTTTGCATTTCCTTCACAGTGCAACATAAAAGAGACAGCTGCTGTGTTGAACCAATCCAATGTTTTTATAATAAAGTTTCTGGTTCAAGTTTATTGTTCACAAAATGAATCAACCCACCTCCCTGCATCCACGCAGCGTAAACTCCTTGAAGCTACGGATGTCGTCAATAACCAAGTTCATCAGCTGGAGTTTATCAGAAAAGCCCACCAAGATGAAGAGGCCAGTGGGGTGCAGAGCTACACTGTAAGCCTCACCATGAAACGTCTTGTACAGCTCCAACTCCCTGGTGACAGTTCCAACAGAACAAGAGGTAAATGCCAAACTGGCGTTAGTTTATAAACATATAAACAAAAGTACAAAATACATTTAGTACATTTTTACTTTGTCTCGTAGTTCCAAATGCGAACGGAGCGGTCAAGAGAGCAGGTAGCTACGAGGGGCTTACGGACGCAGATGGACAAACCAGTGATTGAATTGGAGTGGAAGGGCTGAGACAGGAACTCAAAATGGTGATTTCCTTCCTGAAGGACAGAATTTTAGATTTTACATCAACTTAATAATTTAAAGTCAAGTTAAAATCGTGTCAGGCTTTAAACAAGAATAGGTGAACTGCTTATTTACAACACTGGATCATTCTTATGAAGGGTGGAATGTGACAAAATTAAATAAATATCATAATTCAGTGTATCATTTAATTATTCAATGCATTATTAAATCATTAAATATACAATTAAATGATTAAATACACAATTATTTAATGAAATGTACCATGAAATAAATAAACGTACATTTAAAATTCTTTATTTCATGATGTATTTTTGCAAATGCATGAACAAGTTTTTCTGCATCATTGTTAGATGTTTCTAATTTTAAGAATATTACACAGTAAAGAAAAAGCACCCAGTATACTGCCGCGTACATCCATACGCAGAGGTACGTGCGTACCCCACCCCCAGCGTACCCTCCGTGCAAAACTCAAATTTTTACGACGGCATACGCGTACGCGGTGTCGCACAATAAACTGCCCAGCAACAGACTGTTTTGTATGCGGCACCAATGTATTAAATTCCCCTTCTTCATCCCTGATCTGGCCTTTTCTTTTGTTTTTTTGCAAAGAGGCAGTGATCTCTTCCTCCTCCGTTGATGCCATGACTGAAATGGTGAGAAATGGAGGAATTTGTCACGAGCGAATCAAACTCATGTCCAGCGTGGCTGCAGGAGGGTCTGGAGATTTCCTGGTGGGCTGGTCTGATGTGTGGGCTGCAGAGCCAGTGCTCTGTTTTTTTATTTTATTTTTAGATCTTTTTATTAACAACATATAAACACAGAACACCGCTGTGGCAGAGGCTGCCAGCGCTCGCTCGCTTTTTTTCTTTTTTTCCGACCTGTCAATCAATCCAGTAGGCGTGTCAGCAAATGACCAATCGGCGACCTCAATTTGTCCCGAAGGTAAACGCCCCTCGTCTGTGAAGCTGCTCTGCAGCTGCTCGGGGTGTACGCTGGAGTATCATGTCTGAACCCTCTGCGTACAGTACACGCGTACGTACGCGTGAACGGATGTACGCGGCAGTATACTGGAGCCTTAACACAGGATCATCCTGATTAGGTCAATGGTGTCAAAGAGGGAGCATTCCAAGTTAAAAAAAGAGACTTCCTGTTCTGAGGGTGCGGGACTTTGATGACGTCAAAATATGACACAGTGGATGGTCGGGCATCCAACAGGGATGAGTCATGTCAAGTTTCGTGCATTTCGGTCTTTCAATGTGAAAGTTATAGTGTTTGGAAATGTATTGCATGAAGCGAAATTCTGAGGCCTGGCCACGCCCCTTTAACATATATGAAAACGCGAGCTTTAGATAACTTTTACTCTCCAATGTCTTAAGGGCATATCATCCAAGTTTGAAGGCAATACATCAAAATTTCTAGGAGTTTGTTAATATTTGCAATTAAACAGCCAAAAACGACCCTTTGACCCAAAATGTCCGACTTCCTGTTGGTTTTTGGACCAGGGCTCCAAGAGACTTTTTCACAGGTCCTAAGAAGATACAGATGTTCCCCGAGTTTCAGAATTATCGGTCCAAAAATGGCTTGGGGCTGAGGTTTTAAAATATTCTAGGGGGCGCTTTGGAGGCTAATGGCCACTTATCATTGCTTCCTGTTCAAGGGGTGGATAATGATTGATCATACTGATTTTGGTGCACCTCGGTTCAAAATTTTGGAATTTAGAGCCAAACGTATGGCGACGCTGTTACGTCTTACTATGCCACGTCGCGACACCCACATGCTCCACCCAAAACTGTCAGTGTTGAAAAGCAAGTTACACCAACATGTCTTTGGTCACTGGACACACCATCATGCTGATCAGGTAACAGGGGTCAGATAGGGATCGTACAATGTCAAACTTCATACTTCCTGTTGTCAGGGGGCGTGGCTTAAGTGATGTCATGATTTGACCATTTAGTCTAGCAGGGGACCGGATGTGAATCAATCACTGAAGGTTTGATGTCTCACACAGTTTTGTTGTAGGAGCTATTAGCGTTTCGTTTTTCATGGTGAGATGTCAAACTTTGAGGTCTGGCCCCGCCCCTTCAGCATGCTCCGAAACAAACCGTTTAGATAACTTTGCGTCCCCCATGCCTTTTGACCCAAATGGCCAAGTTTGAAACCAATTGAGCAAAATCCCTAGGAGGAGGAGTTCAAATGCGGAGGCTGTAAATTGCCAAAAAGGTGTGAAAATTGGGACGGCATTCCAAAATGGCCGCCTTCCTGTTTATTGTACAACGTTTGTGCCAGAGGGTTTTCTGTGCATCTTGGGGAATTGGACAAGCGTACCAAATTTCATGTTTCTACGACAAACTAACGTTAATGCGGAGGGTATTTTGAAAATTTGTATGCGGCGCTATTGAGCTGTTTCTGTTGCAATTTTTACCACGCCCTTAAAATACGTAATTTTTCACCAGTCCTGATGCGTCCGCCAAATTTGGTGATTTTTGGGATATGTTATAGCCCCCAAAACGCCAATTCATTTGGCGGAAAAATTGCAGCTCGGGCCTGAACAGAGCGAATACATTAGGCCTTCGCAGCGCTTCACTGCTCGGGCCTAATTTATCCCATGCTGTAATGGACTGCATTTTGGTAAATGGACTGCATTTATATAGAGCATTTTTATCTTATCCAGATACTCAAAGTGCTTTACAACACAATATGTGCCTCATTTACCCATTCATACAGCACTCTACTAGAGCTCTACAAAACTAATTGAACAAAAAACTCTAAAGAGACTAATCAGAGATTTATCACATTCATACACCAATGGGACACACATCGGAAGCAATGAGGGGTTCAGTGTGTTGCCCAGGGGCACTAGGGCATGTGACTGCTGGTAGATTCGAACTCCCAACTCTTGCATTGGAGGAGAACTGCTCTAACCACTCAGCCACAGCCGCCCGCAATAATAATAAGGTAAAAACCTTACCTAATGAAAGCATATTAAAGTTCAAGTTTTTTATTGTCATTTGCATCACATGTGGTACATGAGATGGAACAAAATTGTGTACTCAAGGTCCCAGATACACCCAAAAGTAGCAAAAGGAAAATTATATATATATATATATATATATATATATATATTTTTTTTTTTTTTTTTTTCCAATCTCTCCCTGGCCCAGGCAGTCCTCCCTCCCTGCTTAAAATCTGCAACTATCATCCCAGTGCCGAAAACATCTACCATCACCAGCCAGAATGATTACCGATCGGTGGCTCTCACTCCAGTAATCATGAAGTGCTTCGAGAGACTAGTTCTCCAGCACATCAAGGACTATCTCCGTCCGAACTTTGACCCCTACCAGTTTGCATATCGCACCAACAGGTCCACAGAGGATGCTATTGCAGTAGCTCTCCACACCTGGAACCACCTGGAGCCACCTGGAACAACAGCACAGCTATGTTTGAATGCTCTTTGTGGATTACAGCTCGGCCTTTAATACAATCATTCAGGACATTCTTATAAATAAAGTGGACTATCTCGACCTCCTCCCCCCTCACATGTACCTGGATAAAATACTTCCTAACCAATCGACCCCAATCTGTAAAACTTGGTCCCCATCTCTCCTCCACTCATATGCTGAGCACTGGCTCCCCACAGGCTGTGTGCTGAGCCCCCTGCTGAACTGTCTTTACACCCATGACTGCAGCCCGGCCCACAACAACAACTTCATTGTCAAGTTCGCCGAAGACACCACAGTGGTCGGACTAGTCTCTAAGGGAGATGAGACATATTGGCAGAGACATTTTCATCTTGGATGAACCAAGATGGCCACACTCAGAGCAGTTGCAGCTTCACAGGCTCCCGGTACTATCCCAGTTTTTAGAAGTTTTGATATTGACTCTGTGCCTGACTCCGCACAGCGGATTTGCCACGAAACATAGCAAAAATCAGCAACAAATTCAAAACAACGCTCGGCAGAATGCAGATCTTAAAGTCATCTACCTGGAAGCTGCAGCAGAGGCGATCCAACGGGCAGAGGAAGAGCTGCTCCCGGCTTAAGAGAAGAGGATGCCGGGCGGGGGCTATGGTGAGGCTACGAGCTAACGCTAAAGCCGGAAAACTCCCGATGATCCTGATCAAAATTCAGTCTGTGTTAAAAGCCAGGGAGTAAAAATGTGTTTTTAAAAGAGTTTTAAAAATGGACAATAAAGGGACTTGTCTGATGGGAAGAGGGAGATCGTTCCACAGTCTTGGAGCAGCAACAGAATAATTAAAAATGTTGTGGGGTTTTCTGGGTTCAGACCTGTAATTACTGTTAATTTGTCGGGTCGGGTGGGGTTCAGAAATTATGACTGCGGGCTGGGGCCAGGTCGGATCAGATTTTTTGGGCCCAAATGCAACTCCATCACATAGCTTCCTCCCACAGATCAAAAACATGCATGTTAAGCTGATTGGTAACTCTAAATTGTCCTAAGTGTGAGTGAGAGAGTGAATGGTTGTTTGTCTCATTTATCTCCATGTGGCCCTGTGATGGACTGGAGACCTGTCCAAGGTGTACTCCGCCTCTCGCTCAGTGATAGCTGGATATGGGCACCAGTGACCCCCGCAACCCAAAAAGGAAGAAGCGGGTAAAAGATAATGGATGGATGGATGGATGGATGGATGGATGGATGGATG